CCATCACCGTTTTCCCTGATGTTAAAAGCGGTTTTAAATTTACCCCCCTGTGTAATTAGAGTCACCCCTTGGCGTCATGCGGAACCTGCCACTTGCTCGGGCCCTTTGAGGAGGCCACGCTTTCGTGAGTCGGCAGGACTATGGGATGAACGACGTATTCCCTGTTGCACGTCTGGAACAAATGCTGTTAACAAGGGGTGGTCAGGGTGGGTAGGTGGGCACGGATCTCAACGCACTTGCCCCCTGTGGGGGCAGGACAGGAAAAAGAGGAGGGGTAGGGAGGACTTTGGGCTCAGGAATTTTGAGTAAAATGGGTGGTTTTTCCCTCAGGGACAGGAGTGGGGGCAGGAGATTGGTAGAGGGGAGGAGGAGACAGAGGACCCAGCGCCCCGTGGAGTTGCTGTGGAGATGGAGGAAGGGGTCCCTGCATTCCTTGGCAAAAAAGGCCCTGCATGTGGGTTTGGTTCGTAGCGACAGCGAAAAAAAAAATCGGGAGAGGGATGACTTTTGGCTGTCCCCTTTTGGACCCCGCTCCCTTTCAAAAATGGTGGCCCTTTTTCACCCCTGCTGAGAGGGGGCCCAAAATAATTTAAAAAAACCACCTAGTAGTCAGTTGGTCTCTGCCTTTCGCCCCAAAAGTCCACCCTCAGAACTGGGGGCCCCTGTGCGCTCGCTTTCCCGTCCCCATGGCAAAAGGGGAGGGGTGGGGTGGTAGGGCAGTGGCAGCTCCACCAGCAGCGGCTGCTCAGTTGCGTCGATGGAGTAGCTTTCTTCCCCGCGCGTGAGGAAAACTACTAACCGCGCAGCAGCGCATCGGTGGACCGGGAGCAGGCCCTCAAACAACAGGCTTGGGCCTACTTGGACAGACCCTCCAACGGGAGCAATCCCTTGATACTGGGAAAACGAAAAACTTGATCTTTGGCCCCAACTAGTGAATTTGCCCCTTTAAAGGCTGTCTGCCCGGCCCGTAAAGGGGGCTCGGAGCGCGTGTTTAGTGGGCAGGAGGTTTTGTAACTCCGCGGAGGGACAGCGCTGTCCACCCAAAGTGTTCTTTTGGGGGGCGAGACTCACGTTTGCTGAAAATGATAGGCGTGGATTAGTCTGGATTTCAAACCACCAGTTCCTGACAAACTGACTAAATCCGCCATTGAATCAAGCCCAAACTTGTTTTATTTTTTAACTTAGGCCTCTGATATGGCCTTCAAATTTAAGCGCTTACGATTCGCCCACTCTGCCATGGGCCACTGTACCAGCTCCTCTTGCTGCTGCCGGGTTCCCAGAGTGTCTCCATGGGGTCCCTTGTACGGCCTCCCATTTGCTGATGTCTCCATCGCCAAACTCTGCCATGTGCCACTTTCAGGTCTCCACAAACTTGCTGGTTGGGATCCATTTGTGGCATTAGGGTGCTGGCAGATTTCCGGGCCTCCCATATGCTGCTGCCAGGGCCGTAATCTGCCATGGCCCCTCGTACCGACTCCTCATGCTGCTGCCAGGCCCGTAATCTGTCATGGGCCCCTGTACCGCCTCCTCATGCATGCTGCCAGGTCCACAGAGTGGTAGCATGGTTTCCCTGTACAGGCCTCCCAATGCTGCTGTCTCCATCGCCACACTCTGCCAAGTTGCCACTTTCAGGTCATCCTCACACAGCTCAGGTGGGTTCCGAGTTTTGTCAGTAGGGGCTGGCAGATTACGGGCCTCCCATTGCTGCTGCCCATGGGCCCGTACGCCATGGCCATATTGGGCCCCCGTTGTACCGACAACTCATGCTGCTGCCAGGCCCGTAATCTGTCATGGCCCTACTTGTACCAGCCTCCTCATACCCTGCTGCCAGGTCCAGGAGTGTCTCATGGGTCCCTGTGAACGGCCTCCCATTGCTGCCTGTCATCCATCGCACTCACTCCTGCATGTGCCACTTTCAGGTCTCCTCACACTGCTGGTGGGTTCCATATTTTGTCTAGGGTGCTGGCAGATTACGGGCCTCCCATTGCTGCTCAGCCAGGCCTGTTAATCTGCCATGGGCCCCCAGTACGCACTCCTCCAGTGCAGCTGCCAGTCCAGAGTTGTCTCATGGGTCCCTGTACGGCCTCCATTGCTGCTGTCTCCATCGCCACACTCTGCCATGAGCCCACTTTCAGGTCTCCTCACACTGATGGTGGCGTTCCATTTTGTCATAGGGCTGCTGGCAAGATTACGGGCCTCCCATTGCTCGCTGCCAGGCAAGTAATCTGCCATACGGGCCCCCGTACCGAACTCCTCCATGCTGCTGCCAGGCCCGTAATCTGTCATAGGGCCCCTGCTACACTCCTCCTCATGCTGCTGCCAGGGTCCAGAGTGTCATGGGTTACCGCCCTCCCTGTACTGCCTCCCATGGGTCCCTGCGGCTTCCCATTCTGCTGTCTCCATCGCCACACTCTGCCATGTTGCCACTTTCAGGTCTCCTCACACTGCTGGTGGTAGTTCCATTTTGTCATAGGGTGCTGGCAGATTACGGGCTCCCATTGCTGCTGCCAGGCCCCGTATCTGCCATGGGCACCCGTACCGACTCCTCATGCTGCTGCCAGGCCCGTTATCTGTCATGGGCCCCTGTACCGCCTCCTCATGCTGCTGCCAGGTCCAGAGTGTCTCATGGGTCCCTGTACGCCTCCCATTGCTAGCACGTCTCCATCGCCACACTCTGCCATGTGCCACTTTCAGGTCTCCTCACACTGCTGGTGGGTTCCCATTTTGTCATAGGGTGCTGGCAGATTACGGGCCTCCCATTGCTGCTGCCAGGCCCGTAATCTGCCATGGGCCCCCGTACCGACTCCTCATGCTGCTGCCAGGTCCAGAGTGTCTCATGGCTCCCTGTACGGCCTCCCATTGCTGCTGTCTCCCATCGCCACACTCCTGGCCAGTGTGCCCACTATCAGGTCTCCTCCACTGCTGGTGGGGTTCCATTTTGTCATAGCGGTGCTGGCAGATTAGGGGTGGGCCTCCCATTGCTGCTGCCAGGCCCGTATCTGCCATGGCCCCCCGTAACCAACTCCTCATGCTGCTGCCAGGCCCGTAATTCTGTCATGGGCCCCTGTACCGCCTCCTCATGCTGCTGCCAGGTTCCAGAGTGTCTCATGGGTCCCTGTACGGCCTCCCATTGCTGCTGTCTCCATCGCCACACTCTGCCATGTGCCACTTTCAGGTCTCCTCACACTGCTGGTGGGTTCCATTTTGTCATAGGCATGCTGGCAGATTTACGGCCTCCCATTGCTGCTGCCAGGCCCGTAATCTGCCATGGGCCCCCGTACCGACTCCTCATGCTGCTGCCAGGTCCAGAGTTGTCTCCTCATGGGTCCCTGTACGGCCTCCATTGCTGCTGTCTCCATCGCCACCGCTCTGCCCATGTGCCACTATTCAGTGTCCTCCTCACACTGCTGGTGGTGTTCCATTTTGTCATAGGGTGCTGGCAGATTACGGGCCTCCCATTGCTGCGGCCAGGCCCGTAATCTGCCATGGGCGCCCCGTACCGGACTCCTCATGCTGCTGCCAGGTCCCTAATCTCTGTCATGGGCCCCTGTACCCGCCTCCTCATGCTGCTGCCAGGTCCAGAGTGTCTCCTGGGTCCCTGTACCCGGCCTCCCATTGCTGCTGTTCTCCATCGCCACACTCCTGCCATGTGCCATGCCACTTTCGGAGGTCTCCTCACACTGCTGGTGGGTTCCATTTTGTCATAGGGTGCTGCAGATTACGGGCCTCCCATTGCTGCTGCCAGGCCCGACAATCATGCCATGGGCCCCCCGTACTGCCTCCTCATGCTGCTGCCAGGTCCAGAGTGTCTCATTGGTCCCTGTACGGCTCCCATTGCTGCTGTCTCCATTGCCACACTCTGCCATGTGCCACTTTCAGGTCTCCTCACACTGCTGTGGGTTCCATTTTGTGTCATAGGGTGCAGCAGAATTACGGGCCTCCCATTGCTGCTGCCAGGCCCGTAATCTGCCATGGGCCCCCGTACCGCCCTTCCTCATAGCTGCTGCCAGGTCCAGAGTGTCTCATGGGTCCCTGTCCGGCCTCCCATTGCTGAGCTGTACTCCATCGCCACATCCCACTGCCATGTGCCTCTTTCAGGTCTCCTCACACTGCTGGTGGGTTCCATTTTTGTCATAGGGTGCTGTATGGCCTCCCATGCCTGCTGCTCCACCGCCACACTGTGGCTCCACACTCCTGGTTTTCGGCCCCAGTGACTGCCCAAATGAGTGAAGTGTGCGGTGATTCTAAGAATCGACGGCACTCATCTGCATGTCATACTGACTGACAGTATTATTTCACTTCCCCAGCAGACTCCAAGGGCATTTAAAATTAAAGGTACAGAGTGTTCTGCACTAATATAAAGGCTCTCTGAAGCTAAGAAACACCACCCTTTTTATAAGTTTAAATTCGCAGCGAATATATTCGCCTCGAATCGAATTTTTATTCCTCGAATTCGCCGAATCAGCCGAATTGAATTTTTCAATACTTCGCTCATCTCTAGTTGTTTACCTATTCATTGTAGGTGGTAATTCTGCAAAGGCTCAGAATCTCCTATTACACATCCAACTCCAATCTCACTCCTCTTCTATCTCATTTACTGCAGGTGATCCCCACTCATAAAAGAGGTATCATAATCTGTGGCGACTCTCAACCAGTCCAAATCCCAGGACAGGTCATGGTGCATTAATGATTCACTCCTGACACACCCAGAGCATAAAGCAAATATAGAAATAGCTCTTAAAGAATATCTTACTAATTCAGCTCCTGCCATTTCTTCGATCATGGTATGGGAAGCACATAAACCAGTCAGCTGAGGGACATGCATCCAGATAGCATCATATTCCACGAAGGAATGTTGCCATTTACACCAAAGTTGTTAGAATTTCAGAAATGTTTCATGCTCTTCCAAGCTACACCCACTACAGACAATAAAAGATGTCTTTACAAAGTCTGCAGAGAGCCTGATCTTTTTCTGACTGAATTGGCTGAGAGATCCATATGAAGAAGCTCAGAAACTTAGTAAACTTGACCAAAACTACAAACCAATGCAATTGAAGCTCCTCACCATCATTTACACTAACAATCCCTTAAAAATATTAAGTGAGTTTTAGTGCACGTCTCATGCAACTTTATGGTGTCAAGGGAGCTCTTAGACCAACCTCAGGCTGACTCCATATTCTCTCACTTGACACTACCTAAACTTACTACTATACAACGTGACCTGCTGGAAAGCCCTATCCCTTTAAAGGAAGTATTAATAGCTATCAAATCACTGAAACCTCACAAATGTCCTTGCCTAGACAAATTGTCAGAGGCCTACTATAAAGCATATGCTGACATTTTAGCTCCTATGCTCACATGCAGCTTTAACACCTTCCCTCAACTCACAATATTTTCATTCAGAAACATTAACAGTCATTATCACTGTTATCCCAAACTGTGTTCCGACACCCCATCATAGTCACATTTCTGGCCTATATCTTTACTCTACTTAGATGTTAACCTGCTTGCTAAAATCCTAGCAACCTGCCTCAATCCCACTATTGTCTCCCTGACTCACATGGATCAAGTACACTTAATCCCAATACCTCAATAAAGGATAACATCCATAGAGCTTCCTTAATAATTCATGTGGCACGCACTCTTTGTATTCCCACATGCCTACTTTCTCTTGAAAAAAAAGAAGGCATTCGACTCGATGTCCTGGTTGTATCTTCATCACATTCTGCATATTTGAGGTTTTGAACCTCATTTCCTTCAGTGGATAGCTTTTTTGTACAATAACCTAAAAGCTTTCTTAAAAATACACTGCACATAGATCAGACGTGTTCTCTGTTTGCAGAGGAACTAGGCAAGGTTTCCCCCTATCCCCACTCCTTTTTTACCTCATCATAAATGCTTTAGCACAGTTGATCAGCTCCAACTTCAGTGTCCAGGGTGTGGAACGTGGATGACAGCACCACAAACTATGGTTATTCATGGATGACGTACTTCTTTTCATCACCTTCCCCCTCACCTCCTTACCTAATCTGCACTGTACATTAGAGAGATTTGCCCACATTTCAAGTCTCAAAGTTAACCCTCAAAAATCTAAAGCTCTAAATATCATGTTAACTCCCTCCACTGTCTATCAATTACAACTTGCATTCCCATTTCTTTGGTCTTCTAGAAACCTCCCCTATCTAGGGATAGAACTATCATAGAAGACCTATTTATAGCCAACTAACCATCCATGTTGTCCCATTTTCTTCTCTTCTCTCCTGCTGGTACAAAAGAGAAAGGGGATGGGGAGAGAGGTGCCAAGCCACAATAGTGTAGCAAATTTTATTGAATAAAAAGGGTAAAAAATGCAATAATTATGCACTCACAGACATCGCTGGTAATGAGCATTGAATCAAGCTCCAAATGGAGATATCAGCCCAGAGTCCAGTCCACATCAGTGCCACTGTCAGGAGCCTCAGGAGCTGTCAAACTTCCAGGGTCCTGTGACCAATCAGAACCCATTTCAGAGGCTAAATCACACCTCCTGCATCAGTCTCACATCACACCTTGGACAGCTCTCCAACAGATCTCCAGCTGGGGTTCCCTAGGCGGCTTGCTTGGGTCCCTGCTTCGACTTGGGACTTATGTGGACTGGACTTTGGATTGATGTCTCCATTTGGAGCTTGATTCAGTGCTCAATACCAGTGATGTCTGTGTGTGCAAAATTATTGCATTTTATACCCTTTTGTATTCAATAAAATTTGCTACACTATTGGAGGCTTGGTGCCTCTCTCCCTATTCTCCCCATTCCCTTTCTCTTTTGTAGCACTCCTGGTTTCCCAGCCTGCTCAGAAGGCAGCCTTCCCGAGCCAGCAGTGTTACCAACAAACTAATTAGTTACAACCTTACCTCCAAGATTATATTGTTATATTATATATATATATATATATATATATCATGTGTATATTTTAAATGTATATACCATTACACACAAATTATTGATGGGTTTTATTACCTATATGCAGTTTTGTAGATCCACATGCTGATTATGATTTCCAATTATTGTAAGTCCCCCATAAACTATCCAATAAATATTGAATAAAATTGCATGAGATATAGCAAGTGCAGTGCAGAGTGTTAGCATTTTCCTCTGCTGGTACATCCTACCAATTTTTTTTGCCTAGGAAAATTACTGTAGTTAAAATGTCTATATGTCAGGGCTGGGCTCCTGGTACTTAATGAGCAGCTCTTTTCTTTCAGTGCTCAGAAGCTGCTCAGCTGTTGGTTAATTACCAGCCGTATCCACAGTGACTCACTTGGATACCATTACCTGCCTCATTAGTCCAGCCCACAGCCAACCCTTCTTGCTATTTTAGCAGCTTAGCTCATTTCCTCTTTGCCCTTGTTGGTCTATGATCTCCAGTGTGTTCCTGTGTGCAACTCGGTCTGGCTGATTTCCCTTTTGATTCCTGTTCCTGATTTTTGGCTCCTGACTACACTGACTTCTGGGTTCCCTGACTCTGTCTCGTCTGATTACCCGCTCTGGCATCCAAACCCTGGCTTCTGTTTTGACTATGTTCTTGATCTATGGTATATTTGCTATTTCATTAGAGGTGTGATTTTAACTTCACTTTCTGTCTATGCCTGGTTCATGGTTCCTGACACTATATTACCCAAAATTCTTTACCTTTTCAGGGTATTACCTATTGATATCACAGCATCACTGGTAGGAGTAATTAAAGTTTTTGTGTGTTTTCTCAGAAACATCATATTGATGTAGGAGGAAAAATACAGGGTCCCTAGGTAGTTACATGTCACCTGTCTTTCGGATAATTACTCTGATTGAGGTGGTTACTCTTCCCAAGAGTGAGATAGGGTATCCATGCCAGATCTTCAATAGTTTTTAAAGAGGCTTGACACACATGGTGGGTAATTAGCATCAAATAATTTTGAATATCTAGGAGTGAGGTTAATACCGAGGTATGAAATCCGATCTGTGGTCCAGCAGAATGGAAAGGAATTGCGGAGAGATGCACTCAGGGAATCAGGAACATTGATAGGCATAACTGCTGATTTAGTAAAATTTACCGTAAGACCTGATACTGAAGCAAAATCCTTCAGCACTGTGCATAAGTTAGGCAATGATACCAACGGATTAGTAAGGAAAAGCATAACATCATCAGCATACATACATATTTTGAAATGTGAAACCAATAATGGGTAACCAG